CTTCACTTCCACGTTCCCAGCACGTACGCAGAGATGTTGGCCTAAAGTAATAGTTGTGCCAACAATTTTGTGATTTGAAAGCTTCCATGATTTAGTGTAATGATGTTAGTTGTGTTGATTAAAGCTGATTATATTTTTTTTTCGTCTATCTTTAGTTCCTACGACGCATATCACAACTATAACACAGAATCGAATATACACCAACCTTTCTCGTTTTTGGATCTTATCTGGTCAGGACTTTTATGGTGGCAGAGACTGAAACAATTTTGTTGTTGGTTGTATATCGAATTTTGGTAAGTTGAACGAGCATATCAGAGGCAGAGAAAATAATATACCTGTCATTGACTCACGAAATCGTAATGACACGATTGCAAACAAACCATACCACGGACGGGAATAGAACCCGCGATCAGAGAGTCTCAAAACTCCAGGCCGTCGCGTTAGCCACTGGACCAGCTAGCTACAATAAGATTCATCCAACTAGGTATATTTCTACACCATAGGAAGGTTAGCAAAGGCACCACTGTGACCACAAATGCAAGTTTTTACAGACGAATCTCCAGCTAGCGTGGCCGTGACGAACTCTAGCTCAAGTCCCCTCAAAGCCGTCAACATGACTCACGAAATCGTAAAAAAACTTGCATTTGTGGTCACAGTGGTGCCTATGCTAACCTTCCTATGGTGTAGAAATATACCTAGTTGCTAACGCGACGGTCTGGAGTTTTGAGACTCTCTGACCGCGGGTTCTATCCCCGTCCGTGGTATGGTTTATACCCGTCATTGTTATTTTTAGTTCGAGGGACATTTGCTATCTTCACTGTTTTCTTCCTGCAATCGGGAATGAGGTGGGCCGGACAATGAAGCTAGGAGGAAATACTTGACATTATTTGGCATATTCTCTAAGTCCTGAATCAGAATCCTTTGAGAACATTTCTTAGTTTTAACATCTTAGTGTAACCAGAAGTTAATTAGATCGTTGATATTGGTTAGTTTGAGGTAAACTTTAAATTTCATTATGGTGTCTGTCTTGACAGTCAACACTTCTAGAAATGAGAGCGTATTATTGACTTCCTCTAGGGTGAACTGGGGTGAACTCTATAGATGTTTCTACTTGATTTAACTCTCTCTGGAAATATTCAAGGTTGAATATTTTAGGGGTAATGATAAGGATGTCGTCAATACATCTCATTCATTTTACGTTGCTGGGAATGATGCTCACAAATCATTCAACTTCTATTATTATTTTTAAGGAAAGCGCTAAATCTGTAGGGTTATACAGCATTTTGGGGAATAGGACTGAATCAGGCTAGATGCAAGGAAGGGGAAGACAAATCCAGTTCCTTGCATCAAGAACCCCTCAATGGCAACCAGGAACCTGTCTTGAACGATTAACTTTCTTAATATTCCGTATTTAGACTGGCTAACACGGCACTGACAGATGACCCTTGGCCATTCCAAATTTTTGTCTATATTAAGGCATACTATAGACTCCTGCTGTACCTGTGTTATTACTGGGGTGAGTTTTTCCTGATGGTCTTCTTGAGGAGTGTTATGGCTGCTGATGCAGGTCTCTTGTAAGCAGTAATCGATATTCGGTGGTCGTTTATTTTGTGGGGTTTGGAGAGAAAGTTGGAGGGTTTGTTTTAGCGGGGTGGATGATGTACAAAAGAAATTAGAAGGTGGAAAAAAATGTTCAGTGCATGTTTGTTGGTCAAGGAGGAACTCACTACTGCAGATCCGGAGTGCACACAAGAAAACAAAATAATTACTCCTCTTTTAGTTCTGAGATCATAGTGAGTAAAAATTAATCAGGTCATTGTTGGTGGCTAGCTGTAAGCTAAGAGAAAAGATCGCTTCTGTTGATAATATCCAAAAAGGGCAGAGTCGTTCTTCTCGTCATCTAAAGTGAATTGAGAGTGTATATTGTAGACTTAAGGATGGATATTATATATATATATATAATATATATATATATATATATATATATATATATATATATATATTATATTTGTATCATAGGTAGTAGGTTGGTAGATAGCAACCGCCCAGGGAGGTACTACTGTCCTGCCAAGTGAGTGTAAAACGAAAGTCTGTAATTGTTTTACATGATGGTAGGGTTGCTCGTGCCCTTTTTTCTGTCTCATGAACATGCAAGATATCAGGTATATCTTGCTACTTCTACTTACACTTAGGTCGCACTACACATACATGTACAAGCACATATGGTTTAGAAAGACACGTAAGCAAACACTATGACATATTTATTAGAAAACGTTTCGGTCCTGGGACCTTGATCACTTCTAACATACAGAGGTAGAAAGGCATTATATATATAGGCGGAGAGTGAGGTGTGACGCACGTGACTTGAGGAATGTCATAAGAACATGAGAACATAAGAATGGAGGAACACTGTAGAAGGCCTACTGGCCCATGAGAGGCAGGTCCTTATCAAAACAACCTCTGCCTACGATGAGGACGGGTAGACGTTGAAATCATGTGACTCCTGTGCTGTTGGGTTGGTGGTGCTTAAGTATCAATGCAGTTGAACCATCAATAAAGTTTACACTTGAACTCGAAAATGATGGCAAACTTCCTTTCCTCGACGTTCTACTGTGCAGATCTCCCGACAGTGACAAACTTCTCTTCAAAGTGTATAGAAAACCTACCAACAAGGACGATCTTATACACTTTTATTCACACCAAGACACCCGCACTAAGAGAGGAGTCCTCATTGGCTTCTTCTTGAGAGCTCTTCGCATCTCCAGCCCTTGTTTTCTAGAAGAAGAATGCACTTACATAACACAAGCCTTTACACGTCTTCAGTTCCCATCTTTCTTCATCCGAGATTGCAGACTTAAGGCACAAGCTATTCTAAACAAACCGCCCATGGAACAGCCCCCTAAGCAGTTTATAGTACTCCCATGTGGTGATGTTGCCACGAATACTCGCCGGGCACTTGCTATGAGTAACATCAACGTTTCCACCATAAACACATCATCTATCAAAGACCTCACTACGAAACGCAGCCCCACACCTCTAACTTCTACAGCAGGCGTCTACACTATCCCCTGTGGGTTCTGTCCCAAGAAATATGTAGGCGAGACAGGCAGAGATCTTGCAGTCCGCTTGAATGAGCATCGAAATGCCTCTAACAGAGACGATGTAAGGTACGCCTGTGTCCTCCACAGAGACTCCACGGGACATTTGATGAACTGGAATGAGGCACAACTCGTTCTCACCGAACCAGACCTCAGACGCCGACGGTGCCTAGAAGCCTCACTAATCGCAGTCACCGACACTATAGAACGCAACACTGGAAACTACAAAATTTCAAAAACATTGGCATACATGATACTTAAGCACCACCAACCCAACAGTACAGGAGTCACATGATTTCAACGTCTACCCGTCCTCATCGTAGGCAGAGGTTGTTTTGATAAGGACCTGCCTCTCATGGGCCAGTAGGCCTTCTACAGTGTTCCTCCATTCTTATGTTCTCATGTTCTTATGACATTCCTCAGGTCACGTGCGTCACACCTCACTCTCCGCCTATATATATAATGCCTTTCTACCTCTGTATGTTAGAAGTGATCAAGGTCCCAGGACCGAAACGTTTTCTAATAAATATGTCAGTGTTTGCTTACGTGTCTTTCTAAACCAACTTGTCGGTATTTATTACCAAGGTTTATACCACAAGCACATATATACACACCCCTCTGGGTTTTCTTCTATTTTCTTTCTAGTTCTTATTCTTGTTTATTTCCTGTTATCTCCATGGGGAAGTGGAACAGAATTCTTCCTCCGTAAGCCATGCGTGTTGTAAGAGGCGACTAAAACGCCGGGAGCAAGGGGCTAGTAACCCCTTCTCCTGTATATATTACTAAATGTAAAAGGAGAAACTTTCGTTTTTCCTTTTGGGCCACCCTGCCTCGGTGGGATACGGCCGGTGTGTTGAAAGAAATAAAGGATATATATATATATATATATATATATATATATATATATATATATATATATATATATATATATATATATATATATATGTCGTGCCGAATAGGCAGAACTTGCGATCTTGGCTTAAATAGCAACGCTCATCTTGCCATATAGGACAAGTGAAAATTTGTGTATGCAATAATTTCGCCAAAATCATTCTGATCCTAATGAAAAAAATATATTTCACTGTGTTTGTTTAGTACTAAATTACTGTAAACGTATTTAAAATGTATTTAGTTGGGTTAGGCTAAAATAAATTGCTTTTGTTATAATAAGGTTAGGTAAGTTTTCTAAGTTCCTTTTGGTGCAAAATTATAAATTTTTACATTAACATCAATGAAAAAAATATATCTTTAAACGTATAAGAGAAAATTTCAAAAAGGGCTTAATTTTAAATGAGTTCTTGCTAATTGACCAGTTTTACATATTCGGCACGACATATATATATATATATATATATATATATATATATATATATAGCAACGAACTTCTTGCCGAATAGAGCAAGCAAAAATTTGTATATGCAATAATTTCGCAAAAGTCATTCTGAGCCTAACGAAAAAACAATTTCATTTTGTTTATTTATTATTAAATTATTGTAAACTTACCTAAAATATATTTAATTGGATTAGGCTAAATTAAATTGTGCTTGTTATAATAAGGTTAGATAAGTTTTCTAAGGTTAATTTAGTACATAATTATTAATTTTTACATCAACATAAATGAAAAAATATATCTTTAAACGTACGAGAGAAATTTTTAGAAATGTTTAACTTTTAAATGAGTTCTTAATGATTCACCAGTTTTACCTATTCGGCAATATATATATATATATATATATATATATATATATATATAATTATATATATATATATATATATATATAATATATTATATATATATATATATATATATGTAATAAGAATTGGATCTATACAAGACATACTTCATTCTATATAGGACAAAACTTTAGAATATGTTAAACATACCTAATAAATAGGACATACCTAAGAATATATAGGATGGTGCCATCAGGATGGACCCTGAGCATGACGTTGGGAACGGTGACGTACTGGAAGTCAGAATCCTTGGCGTTGGGGAAGTACACTTCTGGCTTCCACAACATCTTGACAAGGAACGGGTCGTTGAGGTCCAGCGGCCGCGTCAACGAGTTGTTGAGGAACCTCAGTTCTAACCACCGCTGCCGCAGGTACAAGTCCACTGTGTAGTCCTGGACCAGGAACGAAGATAATTAGTATTATGATGATGAGGATGAGCTAAACCCATATGGTTATGCAGCGTTTGGGCAATGGGAGGTAATCAAACTAAATCAAAGGGAGGAAACGATTACTCTAATTTCTTGGATTAGGAACATTGCAAAGGAAGCACTGTCTTATCCCCCCCCCTTTAAGAGTAGGAAAAGCTAGGATTTGGAGCTTTTAGAAGAGGAGAGAAGGGTATGAGAGAGACAAAGAAGGCAGAGATGAGTCGGCCAGCTCTCAGAAAGACCTACCATGCTCCGTTGCCTTATGAATTTCAAGGGTCTTTGACTGCTGACAAACTATTAGAAAAACAAAGTAAAAAACATCGAAATTGCCACTAAGGTTCCAAGAGGAAAGGATGATGACAGCAACCACATCTCAAGCATTCCAAATTGGACTTCGACTGAGCCGATGATCAGGCGTTGGCCCACAATCCTGCTGCCTACTCTCTGAACAAGTGGATGGCACCAAGCAACTCCTCCACCAATTTCAGAACGTCGTCTTTACTGAAGAACTCAGAAATAGAGCAATGCTCTTGCAAGATGTAACAGTTCTAACTACATTGGCTACCTTGTCGAAAATGATCTGAAATACCGCATAATGTGATGAATTGTGTAGCATTGTGGAAACGTTTTGCCAACCAGTGGCTTCCTCAGTCCAATACAGAGAAGAATGGTTGAAGATCAGGAGTTTGAGGTAAGCAATCCTTCAGCCTGGAGTCGATATAATCAGTCCATCAATTTTGACGTCACGATGACGTTATCTGCAAAAAAAAGTCTGCGAATATTTTTGTTGCACCTCATAATATTTCGTACTATTTAATGTGCATATTTAATTGGACCAAATTATGAAATTATGAAATTGTTAGTAACTGCGGTACTATGCGTAGAATACCGACTGAGTATGCGGTAGTGAGAGGTTAGTGACTGATCGTAATTTTGGCCATTGTCGGTATTTTGTTGTCCTACTTAGTAGAGGAGGTAGCGATGGTGCTGGTAGGTATAGCCGTTGAGGTGTCTTTGTACATGTATATTAGTAGCTGCTATATACAACGATATTTATCTGATAGTGGATGTTAATGAAGATTGCTTAAAGACTGATGGTGGTGGTTGCTGATGAATAGTACATGGACTTTAACAAAAAATAGAAAGGCTCAAACATCATGTCCAAGAACTTCAAAAAGAGATGACATTGGCTTTTCAGGTCTGTCATTTCCTGTTCAGACCAAATGGAAGCTGTACATGATTTATTAAGAAGACAAAGCAAAACTACTGATATGTCCTTCACAGTCCAAGTGGAAAGACAGACTAAGCGGGTACAGTTCACTTGAAACAAATTTGATCAAATTCAGTCAGGTTTCATAATTCCCAAGAATATTCCAGGAGGAAAGACTTGATAGAGCTCAGGGCAATGAAGCAGCCATGGCTGGAAACCGTGTTCAATATCCCCGTACATGCAGACTCAAGTACAATAATACTAAATTGTTAAGAGATGAGATGCGAATACTCAGGACAGGAGGGAGCAGCAGTGAAATACGAATTTCATTCAAACGCACCAGGTTACTCTCACTTTCATCAATAACAGGAAAGACAGAATAAGAAGCTTGTTTCTTTTGTGAGCAGCCTTTTGGAACAGGAGGTCACCATGAAGCAGCAACATATCAGTTTGACAAGGGAGTACAGGACAAACTCAAATCATTCAATAAAGCTTAAGTTTTATGTGTGAACCTTGGAAATAATGATATCGGAAGATCTCACATTCAAGATCACAATAATGTTAGCCAGCCTATCATTTTCCATTGCTGCCGCAAGGCAAATGATAGGCTGGCTAATTAGAACTTTAAAAACAAGAGATGCTGAGCCAGTGATGATACTCTTAAAGTCATTTGCTCTCTACAAGCTGGAATACTGCTGCATACTGACGACCCCCTTCAAGGCATCAGTCTAGGCAGGCTAGACTGAACTGAAAAATATTCAGAGAGCCTTCATTGCTCGCATGCATTCAATCAAACATCGGAACTACTGAGAACACTTGAAATCTGTTCAGTTGTATTCATAGGAACGTAGGTGAGAAAGGTACATAATAATTTACACCTGAAAAATCCTGGAGGAACTAGTCCCAAAACTGAACTTCGAAATCATTCCATATGATAACAAGAAACTTGGCAGACAGGGTGCGAAATATCTCGACTAAAATGCAGGGGTGCAACGAGGACATTAAGAGAGAACTCGATGAGTGTCAGTGGTCCCCGACTCTTCAATGTCCTCCCTCCGTGCATACGGGGAATTACCAGCAAACCTCTGGCGGTCTTCAAGAAGGAACTGGACAAGCTCCTCAAATCAGTGTCTGAACAGAAGGGCTGTGGTTCGTACGTTGGACTGTGTTCGGCAAACAGTAACAGCCTGATTGATCAGGCTTCAACCTCCAGAAGGCCTGGTGTAGGACAGGGTCACAGGGGTGTCTACCCCCAGAAACTTCCTTCAGGTATCCTTCAGGTAATAAAAGCTTCAATCTTTGTATTCCTACCTGTTGGCACTAGTATGTCATCTCAGCCAGATGACACAGGTAACTACCCATGCAAGAACATTGTACACACAGCCACAAGAGAAGCTACAACTTTTAAGGAGGAAAGTTTTGAGTGTAGGAATTTTTAAAAGTCAGATTGATATTCCATGTTACGAAGGGATATGATAGCAAGATTTTCATAATGTTGTATAACCCAGAGCATTTTCATGAGTAAATATTTATTTTGCAGGATTAAAGTCTTCTTAACTTGCTTAAAGAAAAAATCAATACGAGATATGGGACACCATGAGAATTGTTTTTGCACACACACACACACACACACACACACACACACACACACACACACACACACACACACACACACACACACACACACACACCAGGAGGAAAACAACAGTCAAGGACCAGGTAATCAGACTGAGGAAGGATGATGGGGAGTTTACAAGAAACGACCAAGAGGTATGTGAAGAGCTCAACACCAGATATAAAGAAGTATTTATAGTGGAAACAAGTAGGACTCCAGGAAATCAGAACAGGGAGGTACACCAACAAGTGCTGGATGAGGTACACATAACCGAGGAGGAGGTGAAGAAGTTGCTATGTGAACTTGATACCTCAAAGGCGGTGGGACCAAACAACATCTCTCGTGGGTCCTTAGAGAGGGAGCAGAGATGCTGTGTATGCCACTAACAAAGATCTTCAACACATCCATTGAAACTGGGTAACTACCTGAGGTATGGAAGACGGCAAATGTAGTCCTAATTTTTAAAATGGAGTCAGACACGAGGCATTAAACTACTGACCTGTGTCACTAACGTGTATAGTATGCAAAGTCATGGAGAAGATCATAAGGAAGAGAGTGGTGGAGCACCTGGAAAGAAACAAGTGTATAATCGACAACCAGCACGGTTTCAGGAAAGGTAAATCCTGTGTCACTGAACTTACTGGAGTTTTATGACAAGGTGACAGAAATAAGACAAGGGAGAGAGAGGGGTGGATAGATTGCATTTTCTTGGACTGCAAGAAGGCCTTTCGACACAGTTCCTCACAAGAGGTTAATGCAAAAGCTAGAGGATCAGGCACACATAACAGGAAAGGCACTGCAATGGATCAAAGAATACCTGACAGGGAGGCAACAACGAGTCATGATACTTGATGAGGTGTCAGAGTGGGCGCCTGTGACAAGCGGAGTTCCACAGGGGTCAGTCCTAGGACACCCAGAAGTGTCCTTGTTTGCAGATGATGTGAAATTAATGAGGAGAATCAAATCGGTCGAGGATCAGGCAGGACTACAAAGAGACGTGGACAAGATACAAGGCTTGTCCAGCAACTGGCTCCTTGAATTTAACCCTGCAAAATGTAAAGTCATGAAGATCGTGAAATGGCAAAGAAGACCGCAGACACAATATAGTCTAGGTGGCCAAAGACTGCAAACCTCACTCAAGGAAAAAGATCTTGGGGTGAGTATAATACCGAGCACATTTCCCGAGGCGCACATCAATCAGATAACTGCTGCAGCGTAAGGGCGTCTGACAAACCTAAGGACAGCGTTCCGATACCTCAGTAAGGAATCGTTCAAGACTCTGTACACCATATACGTCAGGCCATATTGGAGTATGCAGCACGAGTTTGGAATCCACACTTGGTCAAGTACATCAAGAAATTAGAGAAAGTGCACAGGTTTGCAACAAGACTAGTCCCAGGGCTAAGGGGACTGTCCTACGAAGAAAGGATAAGGGAAATTGGCCTGACGACACTGGAGGACAGGAGGGTCAGGGGAGACATGATAACGACATATAAAATACTGCGCGGAATAGACAAGGTGGACAGAGACAGGATGTTCCAGAGATGGGACACAGAAACAAGGGGTCACAATTGAAAGTTGAAGACTCAGATGAATCAAGGGGATATTAGGAAGTATTTCTTCAGTCATAGAGTTGTCAGGCAGTGGAATAGCCTAGCAAGTGACGTAGTGGAGGCGGGAATCATACATAGTTTTAAGACGAGGTTTGATAAAGCTCATGGTGCAGGGATAGAGAGGACCCAGCAGCAATCAGTGAAGAGGCAGGACCAGGAGCTGAGTCTCGACCCCTGCAACCACAAATAGGTGAGTAAGTATACACATTTGTGCTTCCTTCTGAATGGTAAAAAATATTTCTTCACTCTATAATCCATATTCCATGAATAACTTTGTATAAGTCACCCACCAGTAGGCTCAAGTTTAACGTGAATATATTTTTAAACGTACTATGGGTAATCCGGAGGCGGCTGGCATGAAGCTATATTGAAAGAGAATAAACTGGACAGTGGATGCAAATGGCGTAATGTGTAATGAGATTTAATCCCATACAGGTATATTTTGTCCAGACACGGACAATATTATACACTGTGAGCAGCTCTCAGCTATTCTGAACGACTTACGAACTACAGTCATTCAAGATCC